GGGGGGCTCCCGGGGGAGCCGGCGGGGCGGGCTGGGGGTCCCTGCGCCGTCCTCCGCCCCCAAAAGCACTTGCTGCTGGAGGGGGCTGGGTGTCGAGCGATCCGCCAGAAGCGATTGCCACTGGCAGCGCTCCGCGCCTCCGCGCGAAACTCCCCAGGGCTGTGCAAGCGAAGGGGAAGGTTGAAAACCGCGGAGTGGCACTGGTGCGCCAAGGGCTTGCAGCCAGGATCAGGGTGAGACCTGTGCCCCTCGCTCAGAGCTCCCCCCCAGGGGCTGCTCTAGTAAGAGCCCAACGCTTTCTGCGGGCATATAGCTTTTCTGGAGTTGTTTGAGCCCCGGAAAAGTCCGACCGTCTTGGTGATCGGCAGCACCCACCTCGCGTTGCTCGACCCTGCTGCAGCTAAAACCGTAATGAGGGCATGCTACTCTTGCACCTGGCAGCTTGTCCCACAAAAGGATTCCTCTCTCTTTCCCTCCTCTGTAATCTGTAACATTTCAAAGGAAGATAATGCCTGCCGCTCCTCCGGGTAGTGCGCTGAAGCAAGTGGGCAGCTTTCCAAAATGTGAAGGAGAGGGTCTGCGATAACGCTTGTGATTCTGCGTGAGCTTTGGTTGGAGCAAAGTGGCTGAAGTCCCAGTCTCCTATTAAGGCATCCCCTGGGTTCAGCAGAGTTTGCGGGTATGGGGAGATCTGTTTCCCGAAGCTTTTGAAGTGTGCAGCATGAAGCTTTGGGCTTTTGACAGCAGCAAGCCAGCTGCTGAGCTGGAAAATGCTGCTCTACTGGATGCGTGACAAGCCAAGGGGTGTCTGACTTGAATTGCTCGTACAGGGTGGAGGCGAGGACTTGTCTGAGAAGTTTGGCGTCCTCTCTAGGCAGCTCTTTCCAACGCTATGCCATGCGGTGCTTAAAATGCTCCTTTCTGGAGCAGCAGTGTGCGTAGGTGATAAACCGAAGGTGTGGTGGTTCAGGGTAAATTATGAGCGCAAACCCTCCCACACAGCCTTGCTTGACATGCAAAGCAATTGCACTCTTAAAAATGCTGTCTCTGTTAAACTGTGGATCCTGCCTTGCACCTGTTTGGCTGAATAACACCCAAGAGGAATTGATTATGTGCCCATCCTTTGATCTGTTACCAGATGACACCACGGCTGCACACTCTCAAAGACTGCAAGTGAAGTTTAATCTTCTCTCTTCAGCATCTCCAGAGAATGAAAGCTGCTATCTCTCTGTAGACCAAGAAAAATGCCTGGAGGACTGCAAATTCAATGCGACAGCTAAAACCTTCTTTATTATTCATGGGTGGACAGTAAGTATGGAGACATCTATGTAGCTTGAGGCAATATTTTCTTTATTCTGCTCAATTGTATGCACTGCTTGAGTTTCCATCGTTGTCTAAAAGCACACGGGACACTGAAATCATCGTGTTCTGAGCTCTGCAGGCTCCTAGGATCGATGCTTGAAGGCATCGTTGGAAGTAGTAACACAGTGCTGCTAAGACTTAAATTCTTGAAAATCCTGTTGTCTAGCCACAATCTTTCAGCATCACTTCATATTTGTACTATATGAACCTGACCAAAGTAACTCTACTTTCTAAATGAAGCTATGGAAATGTGATCAGGTGTTCAGTTTAAGACACCACTTGGCGCTGGAGACATTATTTTAAAGATCCTGTAATTTAAGCTCTGCAGCAGCTCCTATTTATTGTTGCTTGTTGCAACTGGTAAAGAAATGCAGAAAGCATGCTGAATTTGGTTGGCTGACTTTACCAAGCCTTCCTCTTCCATTTCTTGAGTAACTAGTTGCAGCACTGCTAGACTGATCTAGTCTGTCTGCAGTTGCACATGCTGAATAAGTGATCCATCTTATTTAATTTCTGGTAGAAGAGGGAAGAAAGGCACTCAACAAAAACCTATCACCTTTCACTCTAGAAAGTGAGAAAGCAATATTCTTCCACAGTCTGTCTGGAAACCTGCATTTCTTACATCAAGGGCAACATGCAGAAAGAAAGTAGCATCTACTGGTGATCTTACATGCAATAAGTTTTGTATGTATACTTTAAAGTTCAAGATGAACCTTGTGGATTGTGTGCATCTGGCTTTCTGTGACCAGGAAGCACTAACATTTTAATTCTGTTGATAGATGAGTGGCATATTTGAGAAGTGGCTGAGCAACCTAGTGTCTGCCCTCCACAACAGAGAAAAGGACGCTAATGTGGTGGTGGTAGACTGGCTGGCACTTGCCCACCAACTCTATACAGATGCTGTGAACAACACAAAGGTGGTTGGACAAAGAACTGCAAAGTTGCTCAACTGGTTACAGGTAAAACTACTGCAGGGCACCACAAGTGACAGCTGCACAAGGGTACAGAGTATACCAGTTCTAACAGTCAGGAGCATGGAAGACATCAGTGTAATTCTAGACATGGCACGTTCAGCCTGGTGCATGCGGTTGCACCTCTGTTTACCGAAGACATGCCTTATCACAGGGCTGGGCAATTATTTGGGCTGGAGGGCCACTTAAGGAGTCTTTTGGTGAGCTGTTGAGAGCCAGGGGGATGGAGTGCTGACCTGGCCTCAGCCCCCCATCACAGCTGTTTACACTTCCCGGGGGAAAAGGGGGTGGCCAGGAAGATGCCACTTGATTCTGTCCAGTTTTGTATTCACTACCGGGGTACCAGATAGACTGGGCAGGGCACATTCGGCTAGGCAGATGAAATGGGGTCACAGGCAGGTGGAGGGCAGTGTCCAGGAGTGGGACCAGTGGGGCCAGAGCTGGGATTGGGATTGCAGGGTGGTGATGCCATGGGGCTGGGGCCAGGCTCAGAGGCAGAGCCATGATCTGCTTCCTGCACGTCATTGCAATGCGCACCGGTTCTGCAGGGAACCAGCGCCTGTCTCAGATGTGCCAGGAGCTGATCGCAGCCCTGCCCCTGGCCCCAACCCCCCGCCGTGCTGTGATCCTGTCTGCCTGTCCCACTCCTGGATACTACCTCCCCATCTACCTGTGGCCCCATCCCATCCTCCTAGCCAGGTGTGCCCTGCCTGTGGAGGTCCTGGGCCAATCTCCATGGAGACCAGCCCACCCACTCCATCTGGCACCCCTGGCAGTGGGTGCAGGTCAGACAGGTTTAGATGCCCAGGCAGCAGGGCTGGGTATGGCAGTGGTGGCGGAGACACTGGCAGTGGCAGCCAGAAGTGTGAGGGCAGAAAGAACCGCTGCCACGCGGGGCTGAGCAGAACTAAAGCCTGATGTTGAAAACAAAGGGCGTTTATACACGTGCTCCAGTAGTGGGGCTGGGGAGGGGAGGCACTTTAAATAGAGAGGCTCTGAGAGCTGCTGTAATTAAAGCACCCAGAGCATCTTGTGTATCTGCGTCCCCACACTTAAAAATAATGGCAGAGGTGCTTTAACGAAAGCTCATTGAATGAGCTTTAGTTAAAGTGCTCCTGTCGCCATTTTTAAGCACAGGGATGTTGATGCACGAGGTGCTGGAGTGCGGTAATTACGATGCTCCAGCAGATTCTATTAATAGAGCCTGCTCTGATGTACTGTAATTACAGTGTGTCAAAGCAGCCTTGCTGCTTGCGTATAGGCACCCAAAACGTTGGTTTGACCTGACGCTTGGATTCACTATTGCAGATATGCCCTTTTAAAAGCTATCTTCAGTGTGACAAGAGGTTAGATGAGTTGAACAATGATGGCTAAATAACCTACAAACTACCGGATCCTTTTGCTAATGCCTTAAACACTGCAAGACTAGAAGCATTTTTTGGATTAAGTCTCTAATTCTAGGAATGTCTAGATGTGAATTTTGCAGCTTCAAGTTCCTTTGCTTAGGTAGGACGTGTACCAGTTGTTCTGAAAACACAGCTAATTTAAGCATTTTTCAAATTGCAGGAAAAACAGTACCTTCAGTTTGAAAACGTTCACTTAATTGGGTACAGTCTTGGTGCCCATGTTGCTGGCTATGTTGGTAACTATGCAGCTGGGACAATAGGCAGAATTACAGGTAAGATTATGCTAGAACCTCTGTTGGCACTTGGGCATCTCATCAAATATCAGTACCCTGCAGAGAAAGCCTCTTCTGGGTTAATTCATCTAAAATTTAAAATGATTAAAGCATCCTACAGGTGATAGATACAAAAAAT